GAGCTCAGCAATAGCGTAAATACATATCTGAGTACAACTGCGTGCTAACCCACTAAAGTCGAAGGGAGGTTCCAAAAAACGGAGAGAGGATGTTAGAGATTGTCTGGATCTGAGAACTGAGGCAGTTAGAGTGGAAAGTGAAGCCTTGGAGAAGAGAGCCAGCGCTCTCAGATGAGATGCCTGGAAACGGAAATACCTAGAAGGGCCCTTGCTGCCTAAATCCCAACTGTTTGGGAACCAGCATCATAAATAATGTTTCCTGTATGAGTTACTTCTCTTTAGTCTGTCAACTTCTCTCACACTGTTGTCTCACGGAAAACGTCCTAACCGGGGCTGGGCTCATGAACTCCATCTCACGGCTGCCATAGTGAGAGTTGTATCCACCACCATTTATTTATAAAACCTTCTTCTGAAAAACAAAATGCTGTAATTTAAGAGACCTTTAACATGTCTTAGGTTCTCACTTTATAAATATGAAAAAACGTAAAAATAAAACCTCTGAATTTTGTGTGATGCTAGGACATACACAGAAGGCGAGCCAAGGAAGACCTGCCTTGTCACATTCAATGAACTACAGAAGCAATTTGTCAGAAGCAGATGGATAGTTGAACACTAAAAAGGATGATAAACTAGGAAGAAATTAGATATTGAAATCAATTTCTTTTAGGCTTACCATGAAACTTCAGTTTCACACAAACAATTGTATTTGAAGAAGTCTGGGGGAAAAAATGCCATACTAAGATGGGTGCCCGTGAAAACAGAACTTTACACATGCTATAGCCTTTATAGTCACCATTTACTTGATTGGTCCAAATATTTATAGTTCATTGTTATGACTGCTAAAACTGGCAACCACTAGGATTGTTGTCTCAATTAGGACAGTAAACAGATTGTCTCTTTTTTTAATGAAAAAATCTAAAATGTAATACTTCACAGTTTAACATGTTTATTCATCTAAACGAGCTAAAAAATAATGGTGCGACATCTGTTCGAGAGGCATTGGTACCTCAAATTTTGGCTGCCTCCCCACCAATTTGGTTGTTGTTTTAAAAAATGAAGAATAGGAGGGAGTACTGTCATCAAAAAATCTTCTGGCATGTAAAGTATCTTATTTTTCTTGAAATAAGGATCTCATATCTGTTGCTAGGGATAAAAAAAAAAAGATTGTATAACAAGGAGGTACTTTGCTGAATAGGGCTGCAGCTTAATTGTTTTAAATGAGTTACTGACCCACTATGCATATTTCCATCCTGGTACGGCTCTTCACATGATTCTCCCATTCCCTCTATGCTTACCTGTAGAGATAAGACCTGAACAAAATTGGTAAGAATGTTTCTGTAGGTACTAAATTCATCTGCTACATTTTTTTTTTTTAAACTGTGGGTTGCGCTGATTCTAGATATGGTGTCAGTGGAACAAAATCTAGCAAACATCATCCTATTCAGGCTGCATTGGAGCAATTCTAATAAAAGGAGGCAGTGCTGCTAAGGGAGAAGTGGTAGGAATCTCCCCACAGAAACCCCAGGTAAGTGTACAGAAGGCTGATTGTTGGTGAGGAGAGAATACAAAATTATCTTAGGTAGTCTCTGGCACCACAACGCTAAGTCATGGATGAAATACATTAAAATTGAATAAGTTTAATTTCTAGAAGTTTATTTCTGAAGCTCATGGATAGCACAATTCACTCTAATGAATTACCATTGATTATAGAAGTTTGGAGCATGGAAAATATAGTGTTTTAGTGTTCACATAAACATTATAATAAAAATGAAGTTCTGTTTTCATTTGGAGTGAAGGAGCATGCTAAATTCAATTCAAGCACGGTGTATGGTCGGACGGTTTTTAATAAATCCTGAGATTATAAAATAGCACATTTTATTTTCTAGAAAAGAGCAATGTTTCTAGTGTACAGAAACCTTAGTGCCATTTTTCTTGATCTTTAAAGAGAATGAAGATGAACATACATATCCTGATATAACCCAAATGCTAAATGCTAAGAGTTGACCGTATGGTGATTTTTAAGTTTTATCTATTGACTTCAAAAAATTTTTAGTCATCTACTCTATGCCATAATTGGGCCAGACTCTGAAAGGACTAACAGACATTAAGTTAAATTTGAACATGCATTTATTAAATTTATATTCAGATTACTACATTTTTGGTATTATAGAAATGAACAAGAACATACTCTCAGGATCTTATAATCATTAGTTAGGGTGGGAGAACTTCTATTGTCTTTATGGAAAAATTGAGAAAAACAGAAAATCCTTAAGTATCCTGACACCTAAAAATAATGGCCCACTCGATATTTGTGTTAAAATAGTCTTTTGTTTGTTTTAAAAGAAACAAAGATGAGGTTATATTTTTATAATACTGTATCTCATCTCAAATAAATGTATTTTCCTTACCCTATATAAACTTGCATGCAAAATAAGAACGAGCAACTCTTCAAACCTCAGTCACGGTATTCCATAGACTTTATTTTAAGTCTGCTGCCTTAGTTGAAATTTATTTTTTAGGGTATGTTACCAAATAGAATGCAACATTTTGAAAAGTCATTATAAATTTTTCTGGTTTTCTCTTCTGAATTACTCTGAGCAGTGAATTATTGGAGGGAAAATACTCATGCCTAAATTGGTGTCTGGTGCCAGTCTCAGATTTATGCCAAACACCACTCGCTATTCAAAAGTGTGGTCCCCTGAAACAGCAGGCAGGATATCACCTTTCTGTCTTCAAAGATCCAAACCAGACTTTCAATCTGGGATTTTCCTACAGAGGATTGGCTGCTTCCCAGTTAATGTGAGTTTGCAAAATTTGCATTTCATGAAAAGAGTGTTGTGTAAACAGATACTGTGTCACTTTACCTGCTATTTCCTGAAATCAAAGTGTTTAGCCTTTGGGATTTATGGTTCTTTCGGGACATCGTAAGTTGCTCAGTCACACAAATTGACCAGCTGGCTGCAGACTCATGATATCAATAAGACCAAGCCACGAAACGTGCCTATAATTATATTTAAATTAATATTTATTGACATCTGAAATATTTTCCCCCCAAAGAATATCTCAAAAGTAAAACAGAAAAGAAAGATTTTTTTTTTCTTTCAGGATGATTTTTTAAAAACATTTCCAAGAGCATAATCATCTATTTTAAATGTTGTAAACTCTTTTATATTTCACTTGGATAGGTACCTAATAAGTAATTATTACATATCCTGTCATTTAAATTAGCACTGAAAACTAGAAATAATCTTTATTTAATATGACTGTTTTTGACACCATATGGGAGGGGAAATAACTAACTGAAAATTGTTCACGTAAATGTGATGGGAGTAGGGGAAAAGCAGTATTTCTTGACATGTGGCATGTCACTCATGAAAGGAAAAGGCCCATCATATCCAAAATGCCAGCTTGGATATTCCCTTGCCTCCTACTTCACGAACAGACATACCACATGGCATTAAATGCTGCAACCTTTCCTAAAAATGCCACTTGGATTGGTCCACTGTGGTGAGTATATAAGAACTTTTAGTCTGTCTCTTGAGTTTGTGAGTTCAAGGGGAAGAATCTAGTAAATAACAGTGGCTAAATTTTGCCCTCAGATGTTTGGCGTAAGTGATCTGTGAAGATATTGGAACCTTTGGCTGTTTTCACACTGATGAAATAAATTATGCCACTTGAAAAAAAATTCTACAGAACATAATGCTACACAGTCATGCTCAACTTTTTGTAAAAGTAGCAAAGAATATCTGTCTTTGTAGAAACTGTGCTTATAAAGCCCTATGTATTCCTAGGACGTTTTCCAAAGATTTCTTCTCTTGGCTAGTATGTAAACAATGTTAATATTTATTCTTCACAAATACAATGTATAATATAAAACATTTTGTGCACATGTTTCAAATTATTCATTTTCTAGGTATCTTTATAATAAGGCAGCAAGTAGTTAAAAACAGTTTCGTGGACAGATATCTTCCAATTTTCTAAGTTTTATGTGTTCATGTGTTTTTAAAATATATTTAAAAACCTGCTTATCAGTAAAATATTGAATATACTGGTCATTATGATCCAAAAAATGCAAAATATATTTAAAAAAATTTCTAAACAATTACATATGAAAGTAATACTAGAGTATGTTTTCCATTATTTATTTTTCATTAAAGAAGTCTAATTGATTATCTCTCAGAACAAAATGTAATTTTTAAAACACCTTTATATTGTTCAGATTTAGGAGACAACGTAAGAAAACAATTCTGAGTACACAGGCCGTTTGTTATTACCATTACGTGAAAAAGACTGCACAATTAAATGACAGATTTTCCCTCCCTCCCTAACAAGAGGGGCAAACTGATATTGCAAGCAGCCAGAACAAAATAATTAAAATAGAATTCCAAGTTTATATTAATAGAGCAATAAGTTAATTAAAATCAAGATCAACCGAACTTTCTATTTACACCAGCTCAGACAGCCCAAGAGGAAAGGAACTCTATTTTAGAGACATATGTGACTCTTTGAGCTTCTGTCATCCAGGTGCCATTTCTGATGCAGCACATGTGCACTGAACAGTTGGCAAAGACGGGAAAAAGATTACTGTAGATGTACGTGCAGATAGTCTCTCTGATGATGTAAAATACGTCGGAAAGGGAGAAGGGCTTCTTTGGAAAATAAAAAATTTCCCATGACTTTTCGTTCCTTATTAGGCTCTGAACATGATTTGAGTATTTCTATAAATGAATATATATACTTTTACTAATGATACATATGGAACAAAAATAGATTTAGTTATCCGTAAGTGATGGAGTTAATGAATTGGCTACGATGTCTGAAAAATTTAGAATCTCTTTTTCATTTTTGTCTAAATGCACCAAGTTTAGGGCGCCTGTCGGAGCAGAAAGATTGATAAAAGTATCCAGTAGCATACATTATACTACATTGCTAGGTAAGGTTCTTTTTTTTTTTTTTTTTT